TACGCGTTTCTCATATCTTATATGGTGATTAATTGTTCAAAATAGTGAGTGCACGTTTCTATGCGTGTATAGTATTTGATGATTGTATTAGTTGATTGGGCAGCTTGCGCTAAGGAACTTCTCTGTGCCAAGATAATATATATATATATATATATATATATATATATATATATAAATAACATTTTTAAATGTAACATTTGGATCTCCTTCTTTTATATTCTTACTAATAATTATATTTTATAAATAATTAAACTGCAACATTTATCACTTAATTGGATTGCTTTTTATACCTTAGAATATGGTTTTAGAAAGAGTGGATTTATCTAAATAAGAACATGCTAAAAATAGAGCATAGCTGAGAGTCACTATAAATGGAACACTGTAAGATTGAAGAGGCAGTGTGCATGGAAACCCCCTAGGATTATTTCTGTTAATGGCTTTCTTTAATTTTTACCCTAATGGCTGCAAAATTGGTTTGAAAATCTGTATCATCTTTCAAACAGATTACTTCTACAAAGTAATAATATATATTTAAGTGAAAATGTAATTATTAAAACATTCTACTTTGGAATATATATCTTTATGTGCCATATTGCATCATTTTTATCTGTAATTTTGGGTAGATGCTAAGTTTTTCCTCAATAATATGAGCTGTTTAATTTACTGAATATTTTAAAGATATGATTTGGCCTCTAGATCTCTAGCGGGGTCTTGATTTTATAATGCTGCTGTTTTAGTTTCTGAAGATTCAGTGCCATATAAATGACTTCACCAAAACTTTATGATTTATTGACACTTTTTTTAAATTAAATTGGGGTTTATCCCCAAAGTTGCATCCAGCTCTGATCTGTAGATACCCCATGGCAGCATCCAGCTCCTAAATGGTTGAGAGCGGTCAGCTGATGCTCTCAACCAATCAGTGACTACCCATTCATAAAATTGGTTTTAAAAAGGTACTTTTCTTTACAATGTCAGCTAACCATTCTCAGACAATCAGGGGTGTCCCTTTCTGAAACTGAGATTTAAGACCTGAATGTCACCTGGGCTGGAGTTGAGATTGATGCTGGAGGCAACATTGGCACCCTTCAAGAACGGTTTAAGGTAATAGTGAATCTGGGGGTCTTCTGACACCATAACAACTTCTTTTAGACCTAAATGATGCCCAGCATATGGGTGTGTTTGTTACACTTGCAACAAAAGGAATCAATTTGCACAGTGCTGTAAATCATAGGGCCAGGAGTGTGAAAAAGTGAAAACAATTAAGACTTTATTTATTGGAGCAATGCTGAGAGATAAGACTTCTAACTATGAGAAAAAAACAAAAGCTAAACCACTTTGCACTGTTCTCTGATGTGACAATCAATGGCACACCCATTAACTTTAAGCTAGATACTGGTGCTGAGGAAAATGTGTTAGATTTCACTTTTTTTTAAAAACAAATGATTACTTGTACAGTTATGCATCAAAAATACTAGCACTACTTAAGCTGCTTATTGGGGATCCAGGGTGCACACAGCAGATATGGTGTATTTAACTGCAGCCACTCCCACACACTCAGCAGAGCTAGAATTCACAATGCAGTACACTGCCATTATTGGGAGAAGCAGCTTGTCAGGAACTGGATTTGCTTTGCAAAATCCACACAGTATCTACACAAACCATGCCTGGTCCTATGGCGCAGGTACACCGATGATATCCTTATGATTTGGAGTGTATCTAAAAGTTATTTTAACCATTTTTTTTTTACAACATCTCAATTGTAATGAGTTCAATCTTAATTTTACACCAGAGTGGGATAAATACAAAAGCACGTATACATCAATTCCACAATAACAGTCACTACCGGGTTTTGAATGTCCCGATCACGTGATGACTTCCGGGTCTGCCTCTCCAATGATGTCTGCGTAATGCGTTTCGCCCGCCTTCCTGGGCTTCTTCCGACACTCATCACGTGATGGGGACGTTCGAAACCCGGTTGTGACTGTTATCGTGGAATTAATGTATGCATGCTTTTATGTGGATAGCGCTATCAGCCAGACCCAACAACTTTTTTATAATAAACTACTAAAGATACTATTTGGGGGCTTCTGCCTCTCTATCCTATATCACACATCATACAGATTTTATCCATACAGTTTTTATCACTCCTGTGTGTTCTCTAAAATCTTGTATATTCAAGCAATTTCTACGGACTCTAGTGATTTGACTCTTTGCTATTCCCCTTAACCAGGGCGGATGGTGACAGCTCTTTCTGTGAACGTAGCTGTTCCCATCAGTTTGTTTGAAGAAGCATTTAGACCTGATATTGCTTTCTTCACAGAACAAGGTCAGGTCCAAAAAATTGATTGTATTTTTACCCCACTCTGATGTAAAATTGAGATTTAACTCATTACAATTGAGATGTTGTAAAAAACTGTCAACAGAACTTTTAAATACACTCCAAATCATAAGGACTTCATCGGTGTACCTCCGCCATAGGACCAGGCTCACCCCCCCAGTCATGCTCAGACCACACAAAGAGGTCTTCCCACTTCCTCATGTAGATATTCGCATAGCTGGGTGCGAACCTGGTACCCATGGTGTTCTCTGTGGTCTGCAAATAAAATTTACTGTTAAAGAAGAAATAGTTGTGCTCTAAAATAAATTTGATGGCAGCCTAAATATATTTTTAAGTGAAGGAATTTATAAATTTCAACAGTCATTCGTCACCAAATATAATACTAACCAATGGAGGATAAAAAAAGTGTATGAATAAACATTGGCCAATACTACTGCAAGATCCCATATTGGGAAGAATGTTGCCAAGTAAACTTTTGATTATTTTTAAAAAGAATCAAAATGTAAAATGTTTGTTAGCACACAATTACCCAAAAACAAATATACTTAAAAAGAAAAAAGAAACAACTAGAAGAATTCCCGATGGGAGCAGTATGCATTTGAGATGTAACAAAGGCTTGAAAGGGTGTCATACATGCAAGCCCTGCTTTAGGATGGATTTGTGTTACTCCTCACATTTTACCAGATGAAAGTTTCCCGGTTCGGTCTGCTGTTGGTTGCCGCGGCAAGCAGTATGTGGGCAGAACAAAGAGGATGTTCAAAGTGAGAGTTATGTAGCATATGGACAACTTTAGAAGGAGACTAAAGTCTCATTCGGTTCCAGTTCACTGTAACTCCTGTCCCCTATTCAAGTGGAAAGGTTTTAAATGTATGGGGATTGGACAAGTTTAACCACATTGGTGAGGAGGGAACAGAGAGTTGAAATTGTCACAACGTGAGACATCTTGGATCTACAAACTAGACATTCTGGAACCAAAAGAAATGAATGCGGATATAGATCTAGTATGTTTTTTTTATAATATCAGCATACCCTGATCTTTATTCACATCCTTTCCCTCTCCACGTTTTTTGCCTTTGTTGTACAATGAAGACTCTAGAATTTTTAACACATCCTTAATAAATAATTATATATTTATCTTTAAATTATACACATACGATAGGTTTGTATTATTATTTTTTCTGTTTTACATTTTATTTTTCATATGTATTTTCTTTTCTATTTTTTTTACATAATTTTTTTTATATAACTTTCTAACTTTTTTTATATATTATTTTTTTCCTTATATATTTTTATTTATCAGTTAATTTTTTTGAGTTTATATTGGGACTTGGATTTAATCTTTATTATTTAGAAGGATGTGTTCCAAAAGTGTCTAAATGGATGTAAAATCTAGGGTACATATATTAAATGTATAAGAGTATTGTAAATGGTTATTTGCTATGAAGCCTTCTAATTATTATATCTGTGTATCATTTTATTATGTGGCGAAACGATTGAGACTAACAGTTGCGTCCACGTGATCGGCTCCCGTGGTAACGGAAAGCCGACGGTGGAACGCAACTGTCATGGTGCTGGAATGCAAACAACGCCTTTGAACTTTCCGGCATGAAAATCAGATGGCTAACAGATATCGGCTGTAACACGAAGATGGCTTGTCCCAGTTACGGATCTACAGAACGCCAAAGCACCTATTGGAAGCATCAGGATTGGAGGACGTCTTCAGAAACACCTACTAGGAGGACGGGATTAGCCCTGTTTAAAGAGACTTTGGAGGGATCAGATTAGAATGCATTTTTTTGTGTTCCCTGAGGAAGTCCACCATATGTGGAAGAAATGCATTGGACAGCCTTTTACTTGTGATTATTTATATTCTTTTATACTTTTACAGGCTATTTTGTGCTGAAATAAAAATAAGATCTTTTCATCTGATCCTGATCATTGAATTTGATTTTTGGAAACATCATCGGTTCCTGGATCCAAGGGGAAGCAGATGGTTCTACAGCCTTAAAGGACCACTATTGTGCCAGGAAAACATACTCGCCCGGCTCTGGAAGGGGGAAAGGGGTTTAAACTTACCTTTTTCCAGCGCTGGGCGGAGAGCTCTCCTCCTTCTCTCCTCCTCCGATCCGCCCCGTCGGCTGAATGCGCACGCGCGGCAAGATCTGCGCGCGCATTCAGCCGGTCACATAGGAAAGCATTCATAATGCTTTCCTATGGACGCTGGCGTGCTCTCACTGTGAAAATCACAGTGAGAAGCACGCAAGCGCCTCTAGTGGCTGTCAATGAGACAACCAGTAGAGGATTAGGGGGAAGGCTTAACCCATTGATAAACATAGCAGTTTCTCTGAAACTGCTATGTTTATTAAAAAATGGGTTAACCCTAGCTGGACCTGGAACCCAGACCACTTTATTAAGCTGAAGTGGTCTGGGTGCCTAGAGTGGTCCTTTAAAGGGACACTGTAGTCACTATAACCATTTCATCTCTTTGAATTGGTTTTAGTGCCTGGAGTGCCCTGGCACTGTCCCTCCATTCAATGTTTTACTATGTTCATGCAGCATGCCACAAAATAAGAGTCCCTGGCCACCCACAGTCCGGCCCCTTCTGTATTTGTAGCTAAGGCAGAGATTACACACTTCCTTGTTGTCATATCCATTCATACCATCAGTTGGAGCTTTGACAGGCTAAAAGCAGTCAGCTGACACTCTCAGCCAATCACAGTTGCCCATTGCTGCACAGGCTAATACTTCCTTATTAGCCAAAGCAGCACAGAGGGGATGGACTGCCTGGGGCTCTTGTTTAGCATTAGAACATTAGAAAATGTTTAATGCTAAAAGAAATGATGGTACCGGGGACTCCAGACACTATAACCAGATTAATGAGATGAAGCAGATACAGTGCCTACGGTGTCCCTTTATTTCCCTGTGGGGAGATATTCAATGCACTTTTTCCACTGACATCTTGTGAGTGCAATCAGTATCTCTCCTACATTGTTACTTCACAGTACATCACTATGTGTTGTTAATTTGTTTTTTGCAGATACACAGCTGTATCTCATTTTTATATATTTATATGTTGTGTTAAAAAGGGGTTGCTATTTTGGAAGCCCCCCTGGGAAGCTGTACCTATTGAAGTACTCTTGTCTACATTAATTGGTTTACACTTATAACACATTGGTGTATGGGTGGTGTGTATATACATCAATTTGATATATGTCAAAAATCTATAGATTATTTAGGAATCAAGATCAAAACTAAAATACTGGAAACTATTACAATGAATTATGAAACTCTGTGGGGAGAACTTAATACATTATTGACTCAAAGGAAAAGACTAGAAATCTCATGGTTAGGTGTATTGAAATCATATGTACTCCCAAAGCTTCTCTACTTGTTTAGAGCTATACCATACAAAGTTTAAAATTGTATCCTGAAAAGATTTGATCTGACATTTTCTAGCTTGTCTAGGAATTTAAAAAACCTAGGATCCCAAGTGCAGTCCTTAAGAGAAGTACACTACAGGACGGTTTGGGATATCCATATATATATTGTTTTCGTGACTCATTCAAACTCTTCCATATGCTAGCTTGGAGTAATAGGAAGGAGACTAATCTTAGCTGGTATAATATTGAAAAACATAGAATAGGAATCTGC